CAGGGGGGGGTTTGGGGGAGGCCGAGCTGCGCTCCCCAAGGGAGGGATGGGCTGGAAAGGAGTGGCGGGGAGGGGGCTGGAGCGTGGGGCCGTGGGGGGTCCCGGCACAGGGTAACGGCCTGGCCTCTCGCCCTGCAGTTCCGTCTTGGAGGGACCATGTCGTGGAGCCCCTGAGAGACCCCAACCCCTCGGACCTCCTGGAGGTACGTATGCCGCCCCGGCGGGTGCAGAGGCTGCCGTCAGAGCTGGCGTTGCCGCAGGCGCCTTCCTGGCTGTTTCACGGCTCCAGGAGAGTGGCTTGCAGCGTTTGCTGCCGCTGCGGGGCTGGGGGCATCTCGTCCCCTCATCCGGCATAAACAACGCGGGCAAACCCCGGCTGCGGTTGGAGGGCTGGGGTGGGGGTGAAGGACCAGCCCCTCTGTGCCACGGCGGCTCTGGCTGCCGGCTCAGGGCTGTGCCGGGGCTGCCAGTGCCGGGAGGACGTGCTCATCCCCCGTCTGTCGTTGCAGAACCTGGACGACAGCATCTTTTCGAAACGGCACGCGAAGCTGGAGCTGGATGAGAAACGAAGGAAAAGGTGGGAGCAAAGAGGGCGATGGGGGCCCGGGATCCCCGGCAGGACGGATGGTCTGCGCCCCCTCCCGCAGGGAAGGGCCCCGGGGTGTCTCCCGGAGGGGCGGGACGGGACCTGGCCGCCCAGGGTGCAGCCGGCAGCTGGGATGGGAACCTGAAATGCTGCCGGAGAAGGGATGCTCCCGCATCGCTGCCAGCGCGGCGGCGGCCCCGGCGCAGCCCCCTGAGCTCCCCGGGAGGGTCGAGGCGCCTGCCCCGCTCACTGCCTGCGGATTCTCGCTGCCCGGGGCATCGCATTTTCCAGGTGGGACATTCAGCGGATCAGGGAACAGAGAATTCTACAGCGGCTGCAGCTCCGAATGTACAAAAGGAAAGGGATTCAGGAGTCGGAGCCTGAAGTTACCTCATTTTTCCCTGAGCCAGATGACGGTGAGCGCCTTTGGCATCGGGGGGGGCAGGCAGGGGGTGCTGCCTGCTGCAAGGGGTGCAGGCAAGGCGTGCGTAACACTCCGGTGTCTCTCCTGCAGTGGAAAGCTTGCTCATCACCCCCTACCTGCCTGTCGTCGCCTTTGGCCGGCCGTTACCAAAACTGACCCCACAGTAAGTACTGGGGTCACCGGCGGTGGGAGGGGCTGGGGCTGGGCTGCGCCGGGCACTGAAACTCGGGCCGGTATCCGCGGCGTCGCCCACCGGGAGGGCGCTGACGCGTTCCGGGTCGGGGACGGTGCCTCGCAGCCGCGCGGCGTGGTGACACCGGCTCTGCCCGCAGGAACTTCGAGCTGCCCTGGCTGGATGAGCGGAGCCGCTGCCGGCTGGAGATGCAGAAGAAGCAGACGCCGCACCGGACCTGCCGGAAATAGCGGAGCCGCCGGGAGTGCCGTACGTCGCCGGCTC